TCGGTTCGTCTCGTTCTATTTGCTTTAGCGGGCTGCCGGTCGAGTCGACTTCGTCAACCGGACAAACGCGTATTGTGATTTCAGCCTTTGACTGGTAGCCGTTCGATGGATATCGCAGGGGGTGGCAAATGGTCGTGGAGCCGTGCCGGGCGATACAGTATCGCGTAGGAGGGGGGGAGGCGAATTGGCGCGGAGACTGGAAGGGACGGACGAGCGAGCACCGTGAATATTCATGCCGAGAACCCTAGACGAATTCGGACTTGTTGCGACTGACACTGATGTAAACCTTTGTTTATCCTGCGTGCACCGTAATCCCTCGACCATCATCCCTCGGCGAGGCTCGGATACGCGCGGCAGTCGGCGTCGGAGCCTTCAACCCCCACCTCTCGCGGCTCCAGTATTTAACTGCGAGTTAAATTCTGATTAATCGTCGTTGCCGGGGTTATTAATTGTTTGTCCTTTTGATTTTACAAGCTCACGGAGCTCGCTTCGCCTGAAATCTCGCTCTCCCTGTCGTGATCCACCGCCTTCCACCCTCTTTTCCGACTGCCGGTTCCGTTCGTTTCTCTCTTTTCGTCTTCTTTCGGCCGCGAGCCGATCCTCTCGCGCGCTCCGTTTCCGTTCTAATCCCGATGATTTGTTGCCGCTAATACCTCCCGTGACATCCTCGATCCGAAATTCTACCGCGAAAGTTACTCGGCTCGTTTGTCTTTCCGCGGTGGCGCGTCCCACCGTGCCGGTTCGACCGATTAAATCTCGCGAGTCAGGAACCGTGCTGGTCCTCGAAAAAACCGGACGGAACTCGTAACTCGGGGATTTCCGCATCACCGGTTTTCATGCTGGTTTCGCAACGGCAAAACAGAGTTTCCAGCAGCGGCTGGTTGAATTTCGGAATCGCGGAAACGCCGGATCCGTCCACCCTCGACGGCTCCACGAGCGAGCTAAGTAATATTAATGGTCCGTCCCGGTTGCCAGAACGGACGGTATCAATGCGCTAATGTCGGCTTCCTGGCTTTAAAACTACCCCGTCATTCCGGGATAATTCGTGGGCGCGATTGTCGTTCGTCAGCCAACCGACCACGCAGCTTTTGCTCGCTGCCTTCCTCGCCTTCGAGGCGAGCCTTATCGTTATCCTGCTGCTCGCTCGGGACGTTACCTCTGCAAATTCTTCGTCTTGTTGCCTCTTCTCCTCTTTCTCTCTCTCTCTCTCTCTACCCCCCAGAAAGACGTCATTAATTACAACGACGAGCGCGACAACGTCGACGAGCTTCTATCGTCGGGGACATCTGCTGGAAAATAATATTCATAAAGTTGAGCCCCGCCGTTACGAGCTTCGTTCTCGATCCATCTTCGTGCGCACTCGTGACTCTTTCACCCTCGTACCGTTCTCGCGTTACTTTCATCGCGAGCCAACGAGAATCGAATCTTTTCGTTGCTCTTTTTTTAACTTCTTTGCTCGCGGCTCGACGGTTAAAGATAAGGAATGAAGCGAAAGAAACGATGGACCGTTTAGCGATAGCGAAGAGGACGCGATGAAACGGTTAATTCGATTGGACGATCGTTGTCGCGATAGCAAACGTTAAGCCGACAACTATCAAGCGGCGCGCTAATTGCGTTCAAACGAACTGTCAGAGCGGGTCGACACGCGTGCACGCGCGCGCATCTAAGCCGCGTCCCGCGTGCAAATACGCGCATTACGATTAATACCGTCATACGCGTAACCACGGCTCCAGGCTTGTCAACGTGCCGCAATCAGGGGATACGCTAATTACCGTCTCGTCCGAACATATTTCCGTTCGCTTCCGACCCGTTCGATTGCTTTCTTCTCGATTGTTTTCGATCGAAAAGCGTTTACCTATTTACCGCTTTTGCGGGCCGCGTTAGCATGAAATTTTTAAACTATCCGACACCGATTTTAGCGGAAGAACACCGTTAAACATCATCGCAAAATTAATTAGAAATTGAAAATTAAAAATCGGTATCGTAGTGTGTCATTTCTACCGTGCCCATCGGCCTATTTTATTCGGGCTTCGGTTCGGCCCGATACCATTTACATTTAATAACACCGTATACCCGTACTAACATTCGTAATTCTAATATTTATCCCTGTATCGAAGCACAAATCGCATTCACTCGCGTCGAAAACTATACCCGTCGCGTTCGTCGATTCGATTCACGCATACTTGTCGATAATAACCCAAGATTCGCTCGGCGGGATAACAAGGTGAAATTAATAACGATGAATCGTTCTCGGAACGAAGCAAGTATTAGTCACGCTATCTCTTTTGTCTTTCGCTCGCTCGCTCGCTATAATCCTTGTCAAATCGATCCGCTGGCAAACGTTTCCAGGGCTGATCTCGTTCGGCGCCGTTATTAGAACGAGCGCGTCGATGGCACGAACGAAATCGATTTAAGCGTAGGTGGAGACGGCGAGAAATCGTGTACCGGTAAATTCGATGGAATCGATTCGTATTTCAAGGATGCTGGATCGAGTCGGTTCGCGTGATAATCCCGCAGGCAGAAGGACGATCTCGTCGGTCTAGACTCTAGACGAAGATCGTTTATCGCGCGACAGCCGGACGGTTTCGTATCGGCGAACGTTCCCCGAATCGGCCGCTCGTGCCAAACGTCCTGACCCTCCTAATGACTCTGTTGCGAAACGATACGACCACGATCATCGATTTGGGCCTGGACCTTGTCGAGATCCGATGTCCAAACAAATTGCTCTTGGAATTTTTCGCGAAGATCGATCGTTTGCCGAGCACGAAGCTCGATCCGACGCAAGATTCCTCGAACGCGGTCGAACGATTGTCGGAAAGCTTAAAAATTCGAATCGATCCATGAACGCGTAAAAGCTCGTTTAAATATCGACGAAACCGAAGAGACGGTAGAGCTCGCGAGGGACAAATTGGACGGCGGGCTCGTTAGTCGCGACGACGCGACGTTCGATACTCCCACGAAGATATCGGAGCAAAATCTTGGCCGAGAAAATAAGCAAGAATCGGTTAACGAGATCGGTAAAAAAGAAAAGAAAAAAAAGCGAACGAGGCAAGGGAAACAAGGTGGTTGACAATTTCACGGTACATTAGCGACCGGTGGGTGGATCCTGGCGTTGCGGATGCCGCGACTAATTATGTTTTTAATTAATCATCGCGTTTCGTCGCGCGTCCGGAGCAAAGTTTACTCGGCCATGCTCGTTACCGCTCGACGTCGCGAGCGTGTTCCAATAACGAACAGCATCGAGATGCACGCCCTTCGAAGACGACCCGCTTCCTCTTCAACGACTATCGAAATACTCTTGTTCGGTGTTGGCCCGACTTCGCCGCGGCGTAAATGACCCGGAAAGCATCAGGTTAGCCCCCGGTCGTTCCTAACTTCCTAAAAATACTCTCTCGAAGGATAGCGACGAGAGTTTGACGAAAGTTTCCAGTCGAATCGCGGCGTGGGGTCGTTAATGGGCCCGGCTTTAATTATCGTTCGGTGGATCGTGATCCTCGGAACGAAACCGCGACGAAGGAGCAACGATCCGTAACCGATAAATAATTCTTGTCGAGAGAATAAAATAAACGTTCACGGTGACGACTCTCTTTCAGCGGCTTAAAAGACGGCACCCTGTCGCGACTCGACGACTTACGCTCGCCTCTCGAGGTTTACGAGGCGAGAGATTTACCGTTGATGCAACGAGAGCGTTCGTTCGCTCGATCGTGCTCGCAGTTTCATACGGGGAAGCAGATTACGTGCATCTTTCGATCGAGATTCGATCGAAAATAGGCTGAATTATTGTTTAACGCGATATCCATTCTTTACGAAACGAGAAAATTTGTTGTTTCGTTACGACTTCGCTCGACAACGGAAGAAGAAAAAAGGTCTCGTTAATCCGAGAGAATACCGATTCTAATGGTAAAATATCTTTCTTTCCGAGTCT